GGCATAAAACAGGTTGAATTTTTAAAGCCATACTTGTGTTTTCAATTAGGCCAAGCCATATTGCATATGTTAGCTAAATAACTAAAATTTAATGTTCTATGCAAAATTTGAACTGATAATCCTTCACACGATAGTATATTTTTTTTACTCTAAATGGTTGGAAAGAACATAGCATACTTTTTTAAAAAAAGAACGCAAGTTTTAGGATCAGACAAACCTGGACTCTAATCTAGATCCAACCACCTAATGGTTGTTTGACATGAAAAAATATTTATTGATACGTATAGACTTCTTCATCTGTAAAACCCGTACCGGTTCCCTTCCTCCCAGGCCAGCCCTGCCTGAACAGGACCCTTTGTTAGGAATATTCTCTGGGAAGAAGGATCTTTTGTTTAGCAGGTTTTTAAACATCACGTACTAGGAAGTTGGAGAGCTTAAACAAGTAGCTATCAGTAGAAAGCAGAACTATAGCTCTGCGGAGTCCAGGCGTGAGAGTCCTTGCGCGCCCTTTTCCATTTCTCTCTCTAATCTGCGGTCACCTCCACAGAATGTCCTCTCCTCCCCTCAGTGACACCCAGGCATTGCTCAGCATGCCCGCTGCCACCATGCTGCTCAGAGTGGCTCCTTATGCAGACACCAAGGTCCGGAGTCCGGCCACAGGGCCCCAAACATTTCTCTGCGGGCAGATGAGCTCCTCCGGAACCGGCTGTCGCGCGCGCTCCGACTGGCGTGCTGTCTGGAAAGTCCTGTGATGCTCTGTGGCCTGGCTGTGTCTCCGTGCGGAAGCGAGCGTGCCCTGTGCATACACAGACATGAGCTACATTTTCCTCATCGTTACCTGGCAGGACGTTTCTCTCTCTCCGAAGCGGCACACAGCCATGGAGCAGGGCGGTCTACTGGACAGGATCCGAAGGCCTGGTTGCAGTTCCCAAGCCATCTCCGCTTTGCTGTGTCACCTTGAGTGGGTGACTCAAAGTCTTGGTTGAACTTTTGCCACTTCACCCAGTTAGGAGGGTGAAATCACTGAAGGTGTGTTAGCAAGATGCAGGCATAAGAAAGTGCACACGTGTCTACAGAAGCAAGTGTTCACGTGTTAGACACCTGTGTGGTCTGCAGACGGGTTCCTCATTTGCAGCATATGAGGTGCTCCTCTCTGTGCAGTGAGACAGATCTCTCCCATCTCAGTGTCTCATGTCTCTCAGCTACGTGAGAAGGTCTTTTAGGGGTGAGATGTAGGGGGAAGAGGTGGATTTCTGCACCTCAGTCTACTCCAAAGACAGTCAGATTGGACTTTATAAAAACACTTGCCAAACTTTGCTAGTGACCTCTGTTTTCTTTTCTTCTATTCAGATTTTCCTACAAATTATGTAATGCCTCATAGGATATCTTACTCATAATAGACACACAGTACATAATTGTTCAGTTGAGTTGAACTCCTAAGGAGATGTATAATATAAAACTGAACCTGTGTAATGCATGTAATGTAAAATTTAAGCTAAGAAAACAGTCCTCGCTCTGAAGTAAATTGCCAAAGGGTAGTACTAACATTATGGTGGAATTTAATAACTTAATTGGTTAAGGTAAGAAGTGCCTTTGTATTCCGGAAAAGTTAAAAACTTTCCAAAGAATGTGGACATTCCTATTCTCAATTCCTCAGAAGTACTGTCGGAATCCTAATAAGGTATGGGTGAAATTCATTGCAGGCATTCAATATGCTTAGTGAACTATGGGCAGGGAATTTAGTTAAGGCACGTGGGTAGAAAGAATCTTTCATCTCAATATCATTGCCACGGGTCAACAAAACAGTACTTTTTATTTTGAAGTAGATAAGTCCTTTTTTGAGGAATTCTCAGCAACATCTCTATTAACCAAAACTTAGTAGAATGGAGGCCACTTCACATAGCTAGTACAACCCCCCCTCACTCCCCCCCCTCAGCTTTTTTAACTGCTCAGATCAAAGAGAACAATAAGAAAATAGGCTTTTACCAGGAACTTATGTGAATGAGTTTCTGCATTGTTCTAAAATTAAATAATATTCAGCCCAATCTCCCATAGCTCCCATATTTATTTCTACATTGTTTTATGACAATTAAAGCTAAAAATGATGAACCCATTTCCTATTTAGAAAAGATTATCTGCTGTTCGTGTTGTAATAAACTTGTACCTATGAACAATAGTCAGGAATGCAATTGAATTTCAGAGTCCTCCTTCTAACAAGGGTTCTCTGAGGGTGTCTGAGTTAGTAAGACGCCCTTTCTCATGTAGATGTCAGAAATTGAGAGGTAAAGCTTGTGTATTTTTCTTGTTCATCTTTAGATGCCACTGCCTGGGCAAGTGTATAGAGAAGAAGCATGTTGAACGTGCTTTCCTTTAAAACTGATGTTATTATGGCAACTAGATGTCATTGAAATTCCGGCATTAGTGCCCTACCTTGGAAAGATATGTATTAACAAGACTTTCATGTTTGGTTTGGGGAAAATCTTGAATTGCAAACTACCACATTAAAAATAAGATCCCCACTTTGGGGACATTTTAACCTATTTATAAATTAGACACATTTCGTTTTATATTAAGGCAAATAAGTTGACTAATAAATTTTAGAAGGATTTTGAACAGTAAGAACTTAAAGGACTCTAATCGTGATACGACTTTAACGTGAAATCCTCGTTCTTACTAGAGTTTTTCTGAATGTCCGGTGCTGTCTCCGTTGATGAGCTTAACTTAATAGTTACAGCAATTAGGAACTTCTACGTCTTCCGCTCAATTCATGTATTATGCCTCAGTTTGATGACAGCTGTTGAGAAAAACTCATATTGTGTAGGGCTGGGTTATTTGACTGAAAATTTAGGCAAAGGAAATTCTTCTCACTCTGAAGTGAACCACCTTCCTCACAAGCGTAAATGAGATGACATTTTCCCACAACTTCACCGTTTGGTCCGAATAGATAATGCTTATATTTCCAAGTCGCTTCCCCTTCCACGTGGCCTGCTATTTTAGCTTGCGTGGGATGCAAGTTCCTATTCGGTTGTATGTTTGTCAGTGTTTGCACAGCTGTGCTGTGTTCATACATCCTTTTGTGACTCTGTCTGCTGATAGAGGCTCTTTCAGACTCAGATTTAATCTTTGTCAGGTCAGAGATGTAGTTTTTCTAACTTGCTGTATGATGAATATTTAGTAAGCTATTTGATTATTATAAGTATTTCTATATAGCTATGAGGTAAGGCATATTTTATGAATGTTAAACATGTTTACAAATAAATGTCCTTTAAAATGTATCCTTGGGTTATGAGCCCTATTCATCTAAGCCCAAAGCATACAGCTTATGTGCCTTCCCAGGTGACAGTAAGAAACTTGTCTTTGTGGCCTAGAATCGTTGAGACTAGAAACACCCAAACCTGTACTCCACAATGATAGTTCTTGTTATCCTATTTTTATGATTCAATAATACTAACCCAAATGTTTTCCTCTGGTTCTACCCTCAGTGTTATACAGTGGAGATCACTCTTGTTGGGGGTTGGGGAGTGTAGGCGCCAGATGACAAGTTGCCTGGCACTTAGGCGCCGTGTTGCACCAATATAGATACAAACCTTCGCCCTCTAGAGCCGCCATGAGCCACATGTGGCTGCTGAGCATTTGAACTGCGGCCGGTCCGAATTGAGAAGGGCTATCCTTGTAAAATCACACCGGATTTTGAAATCTTACTATGAAATAGAGAATGCAAAATAATTAATAATTTTTATATTGGGTATATGTTGAAATGCAGCATTTTAAGATATATTGGCTAACTAAAATAGATGAAGAGTTAATTTTACCTGTTTGTTTTTACTTTTAAAAGTTGGTTTCTAGACAATTTAAAATGACATGCGAGACGTGCATTATACTTCTGCCTGGAGTTACCCTCAGTAGCAGGGAGGGCTCCCGTGCTGAGAGGCTCCAAGGAGCTGAGGGCCCCCCCGCCCCCCCCACTGCAGGGGACCGAGTGAGGCCACCCCAGCTCACTGGGGCATCTGCTCAGGGAAGAGAAGGCACAAGTGCCCCTCTATTTAGATTTCCTGCCCCTCTTTCTCAGATTCATTTAGGGCTAGTTAAATAGGATACGCTGTGACTCCACTGGTTACAGATTTCTGATTTAATGCGTGTGTCCATCCAGGTACCCTAAGGATAATTCAAATGCTGATTGTAATCATCATTACAATAGCTAACGATCCCACAGCACCAGGTGCGCGGCCTGCCCTACATGCTTTACGTGATAACTCATTCCATCCTCTCAGCAGCGAGAGGAGAAGGCACTGTTATTACCTCTGCTTACACAGATGACCCAGACAGTGGGGTTCAGAATCTGTCCTGAACCCACAAAGCAATACTCAAAAATAGCATCCATTTCTTGACTTTCTTAGCATGTCTACGCCCGCCTCTACATAGTATAACAATGGTATTAGTGTCTTCTTCAAAACTTAGATGTTTTTCAGCAATTTAACAGCTAAGGCATTCAAAAATGTTTATTGTCTCAGAAATTGGGGGTCTACTGTAAGGTTGTAAATGATCCAAATCCTTGTTTTCCCCTAAAGTCACCCAAAAAAGCATACTTGAGTCTGTCTGCTTAAAAATGGAGATAGTCTAATTTCAATTCTATAGGAAGCGTTAACCCCCCCGTGTGCCAAACACTGTGCCAAGTACTGGGGAAACGGAGATAAAGATGACAGACTCCCAACTCGCAAAGAGTTCTGCTCGAAAGGCAGATTTCTCAGTGTGTTGAGGGCCATGTGTCCATGGTGCTGTGGGAAGAGGAGAGGGACATCCACACATTGGGGGTGCAGGGTGGAGATGTAGCAGTAAAGGCACCCTCTGGGGCGGAGGGGGTGCTCGAGCCAATCTAAAATACACTGCGCTCGTTTTCTTGGGTTTTATTCCTGTCGATAACGGTGCCCGCGGGCTTCAGTGTGCGCGTCGTGTGCCCTTGGGCTGTCCGGAGCACGCTGATCCTGTTTCTGTGGTTTCAGGTGCCAGCAAGGTCAACCTTGTGAAGATTGCATCCACCGCCTCCAGCCCACGGGACACAGCCCTGGCCGCCGTCATCTGCAGCGCCCTGGCCACCGTCCTGCTGGCCCTGCTCATTCTCTGCGTCATCTATTGTAAGAGGCAGTTCATGGAGAAAAAGCCCAGCTGTAAGTTTGGAGCTCATTATATGAAAATATTTCTTAGCATCTGGGTGGAGTGAGTGCACTTATTATCATTGTCGTGCGTGTGTTCAGCAAGAGACTTGGCTAAAACAAGCACCCACGAGCTGTTTGAGGACAGAGGACACATGAAAGTACAGCCGACCCTTGAACAACTTGGGGCCTGGGGGCACGGCCGAATATCCGCATATGACTTTGACTCCTCAAAAACTTAACCGCTAATAGCCTACTGCTGTCTGGAAGTCTTACCAATAACATAAACAGTCAGTTAACACATATTTTGTATGTTATATGCATTATGTACTGTATTCTTACAATAAAGTAAGCTAGAGAGAAGAAGATGTTACTAAGAAAATCATCAGGAAGAGAAAATGTATTTACTATTGATTGAGTGGAAGTGGATCATCGTAAAGGTCTTCATCCTCGTCATCTTCACATTGAGTAGGCTGAGGAGGAGGAGGAAGTAGGGGAGGGGTTGGTCTTGCTGTCTCAGGGGCGGCAGAGGCAGAAGAAAGTCCAAGCGCAAGTGGACCGCACAGTTCAAACTGTGTTGTTTAAGCATCAGCTGTAGACCTCACTGGGGCAGCAGGACTTTATAAGGGAGATTGACAAAGCTGTGATGTCCCTATGCCACGAGGCAAAAATAAAAATTATTCCTAGTTCTGGCAACATAAGTACCCTACATTTTGAACTTTCTTTTTTTTTCTGTTTTTTAATTTCAGCATATTACGGGGGTACAAATGTTTAGGTTACATATATTGCCTTTGCCCCACCTGAGTCAGAGTTTCAAGCGTGTCCATCCCCCAGATGGTGCACACCGCACCCATTAGATGTGAATATACCCATCCCCTCCTCCTCCTTCCCACCTCCCCGACACCCGATGAATGCTACTACTTAATGTGCACATGACTGTTGATCAGTTAATACCAATTTGATGGTGAGTACCTGGGGTGCTTGTCTTTCCATTTTTGTGATACTTCACTTAGTAGAATGGGCTCCAGCTCTATCCAGGATAATACAAGAGGTGCTAGATCACCATTGTTTTTTGTGGCTGAGTAGAGCTCCATGGTGTACGTATACCACGTTTTATTAATCCACTCATGGATTGATGGGTACACTTGTGATGTTTCCACACCTTTGCAATTGCGAATTGTGCTGCTATAAACATTCGAGTGCAGATGTCTTTTTATAGAATGTCTTTTTTTCTTAGTTCTTTGAGGTGTCTCAATATTACTCGCCACAGTGGTTGCACTAGTTTGCAGTCCCACCAGGAGTGTATGAGTGTTCCTGTCTCTCCACATCCACACCAACATTTATTGTTTTGGGACTTTTTGATAAAAGCCACTCTCACTGGAGATAAGTGATATCTCATTGTGGTTTTGATTTGCATTTCCCTGATGATTAGGGATGTTGAGCATTTTTTCATATGTTTGTTGTCCATTAGTCTATCTTCTTTTGAAAATTTTCTGTTCATGTCCTTTGCCCACTTTTTAATGGGGTTGTTTAATTTTTTCTTGCTGATTTTCCTGAGTTCTGTATATATTCTAGTTATCAAGCATTTTGAACTTTCTTAACAAATTATTTCATTTTTGTGCCTCCTCACGTAAGAAGAAATAATCAAACTTTGAAGCAATTGCAGACTTTTTCTTTTACAAACACAAACGCTAGAATGGTACCGATCTGTATTACGGTGTTAATGGGGCTCCCTGCCAGAGGAAACTGTGTTCACTGACAGAATTCTCATCCCTTGTTTAGGGTCTCTGAGATCACAGGACATTCAGTACAACGGTTCTGAACTGTCATGTTTCGACAGACCTCAGCTCAACGAATATGCCCACAGAGCCTGCTGCCAGTGCCGCCGCGACGCGGCCCACACCTGCGGTGAGTGCGGCCGTGCAGGGCCCGTTGGGAGAACTGAGGCTTGCAGAAGTTGCAGTGCAAAGAAACGTCCATATTTCACTCAGCTCACAGTGAGGTCGCTGTGCTTGGTTTTCTGGTTAAAACTAATGTTAAATTATTCTCCACCATCCCCTGTTTGAGTGTGTTTGAGTCTCTTACGTATCACAGAGAAAATAAGCATCTTGTTAAAATTCTAGAATTTCTCAGCAACTTTTTGGGCAAGTTTGCCTTTCTTGTTCAATCCGTTCATTTAAAATCATGCTAACCGTCTGCAGTGGAGGAGTTTGGATCCTTTGTCATATGGTCAATTCAAACTGAACGTTAATGTGTCTGTTTTAATGGTTTGTTTTTTAATAAAATTCTTAAAGAAGAGGGAAGAGGTCCATGACAAGATTTTCCACAAACCATGACTGCCTCTTAGACTATTGACAGAAATGAAAATTTACGAAACAAATTCAAAGGGAAACTGGTCTCTAACTTGAGTAAATAATGAGCAAAGGTAATACCAACATTCTTTGCCAAAATTTGTATTCCTCATCATAGGTTTCTACACTGACACGTCCCCTCGTCCCCACCTTATGACCTCATCTCCTCTGCAGATTAAAGTCCTCCATGGCAAACCACCCTCCCGAGAAGTCTGCCCCGCTCCCCTGTCTTCCCGTAACTTGGCATTTCTGTTAGCACCTGTGAATGCCATATAATAGCACCGTTTTGTCTCATAACCATTCTTTGTTTTAAGTTAAATATATGCCAATTAGATTGACTTACCCTCTTGGAACCATCTAGGTTTTTTTTCAAGAAATTGCAGGATTGAGTGTTTCAGTCTCATATTGCATACACAGCCATGCATTGCTTAACGACAGGGATACATTATGAAAAATGTGTCAGTAGGCCGTTGCGTTGTTAGGTGATTTCATCGCTGTGTGAACATAATGGAATGTACTTACACAAGCCTGGATGGTGTAGCCTACTACACACCTAGGCTGTATGGTGTGGCCAATGGCTCATAGGCTACAGACCTGTGCAGCCTGTGACTATACTGAAAACCGTAGGCCATCGTAACGCCATGGTAAGTATTTGTGTATCTAAACATAGAAAAGGTACAGTAAAAATACAGTATCACAATCTTATGGGACCACCATCATTGACTGAAACACTGTTTCGTGGCACATGGCTCTATGGAATAAGAAGTTTTCATCATAATTCTTTTTCTAGTAGTTATTACTATCTCCTATTTTAGGACTGGGTTAAGAATAAAATACAAGAGTTTCCGTGTGTGTGTAGATCTACTTTTGCCTTTGCCTACAAAAATAATGGACTCTAAGACAGCTATCGACAGTAACTGTGTGGTCCTTAAAATGCCCCATACATCACCTTTTCCTAGATCCTGTACCAGGAACACTGTCACTAGAATCAGAGCAAGCAGGAATGATTTCCTGAAACACAAACTCTAATTAAGGAAACACAGCTTTGTGTAAACTCTGCCTCATCTTAACTTGGTCTGAAAGGGAAGAGGACACACACAGATGGCCTCGCTGCAGGCCCTGCTCACAGAGCACTCACGCCGGTAGGGACCCCCGCGCTGATGCCGGTTCAGTGTGGTGTGTCCTTTCGAGTGTTTCCTTCTTAATGGCAGTGCCTTTTTTTCTTTTAATTTTTTATTTTAACACGATTTCAGACTTACGGAAATGTTGAAAGAGCAAAGAATTCCCACATTTCCTTTACCCATTTGCACGTTTGCTTTACCTCCTCCCGCGTTGGTGCGGCTCATGCACATATAGTCTTTGTTTGGCGATTTAAAAATCGGTTGCAGATATGACACCCCTTTACCCCATAATGCTTCAGTGTTTGCTTCCTAAGAACAAGAAAATTCTCTTACATAACACCAGCCCAATGACAAAAATCAGGAAATTAGCATTTATTCAACGCTGTTACGTAATCTACGGAGTGTATTCAGATTTTCTTAACTGTCCCAATAATGTCCTTCATAGAAAACACCGTTACACTTAGGTGTCAAATCTCTTTGGTCTCTTACTCTAGAATTGTTGACAAATGCTGGTTTTCTAATCCCATCATTCTTTCCACGTTCATTAGTTGGCTTCCTATGGTCAGAAGGAACTTCCCTTTCTTCTCCATTTATTTATTTGCTTTAATTAGACCTGTGGCCTGTGTTCAGTGTGTTGCAGCTCTTTGGCATCGTTGTTTATTTCGATGTTCAAATGCCGCCAGGTTTGGCCAGAGGACGTCCTGTCAGGCTGGCGGCTCATGTGTCATTATTACATGTCCTCATTAGTCTTCCAGCCCTTTCTTACTTTCTGGCATCCAAAGAAGTTCCAGGCTCATCTACTTTCCCTAGAGTCAGCCATTTCTACAAGGAATTTCTACAGTACCTTTTGCTTTTAAATAATTTTGAAATATCCCATAGTGAGCATGACAGGTTTGTAAGTGGCAGTGGATCCAGGAGAGCTGACCACAGTCAGGGCAGCGCATGTGCAGGTAACCCAAGCCAGAGGCCTTGCTTCGGGAGGGTCGTGGTACAGGATGCCAGGTGTCCATCCTGCTTAACACCATTTGCATCGCATCTCAATATTTGACATTCATTTTTAAAAAGGGAGATATTAGTTTCACAATGGGTTTTTTTCCCTAAAAAATAAATTCCTCATGGAAAGTTTGGATACACAAACATATATACATATATGTAAATGTATTATTTCTTCTTCTCCTCTCTCTATATATGTGTGTCTTTGTGTCTGTGTGTTTTATATGCTTATGGTTTTACAAAATCAGAATTGTATGTATATGTGTATGCATATAGAGTGAGAAGTCTAGAAGGTTGTTCACCAAAATGTTGACAGGGTTTATTTCCAGCTTACAAGATTGGGAAAAATTTGTTTTTAAATTTCTTAATCTAATCTCTCTCTTTATATTATTTTTTCCTTCGGTAAGCTTGTATTATCTTCGTAAGCAAAAATAGATATGACTTCGGTGAACATAATGGTTTGTAAAGGTTATGCACATGTCTACTTTTTCCCCAAGTTACATTCCTAGCGATAAAAAGAAATGGTATGTCTGTGTATTGAATTAAAGGATTCAGACTCTTTATGTTCTTGTCTGTGTTGCTGGACATTCAGCAGGACAGTTGTCCGCTTCCTCCTGTCATCGGCAGTGCCCGAGTCTCCTTCGTATGCCCTCTCACAGACTGCTTTATTTCTTTTTGTCATTTTTTTATTGTGGTAAAATACATATGGCATAAAATTTACCATCTTAACCATTTTTAAGTGGATGGTTCAGTGGCATTAAGTACATTCTCGTTGCTGGGCAGCTGTCACCGCCATGCGTCTCCGGGACTCTTTTCATTCCTGAACTGAAACTCTGTACCATTCTGCGTGTGTGCGTGAGCGTGTCTGTTCTAGGTGTCTCATATAAGTGGTTCACCATTTTTTTTTTTAAATAAGAAAAAAGAGAACTTCATAACCCTTTGCCCCCTAAACGTCACCCAAAGGGGAATAGCTAAATTTCCAAGAAGAACCGTGTTGACCTGGGATTAAAGAGAAAGTTCCAGAGAAAAGCACTGTGCTCACACTCTGCTGGCTTCCCAGGGCCCGTGCACTTGATCCCGTCCTTGTGCTGTGACGAGGCCTGCGGCGCCGAGCGGCCGGCTCTGGGTTGTGGGACGCGTTCTGCGGCTACACTTCAGGACAGGTAACCAGGTCCTTTTAATCGATAACTTCGGATCCCCTTGTGCAAATATGCGTGCTACTGATTTACCAATTTTCATGTGAAACTGTGGGAACATCTCTTTTTAAGTATTATTAATGACATCCCGGATATCGGAGGGGGCAACTCTTTGGCGAGAATTAGGCAGGTCTCTCAACGTGGCAAATATCCAGTTCAACATTCTTTATACTTTACTGTCCATTAATTTTATTTTTGTCTTATATTTGTGATTTGTGACCTCTGTCATCTCTAAGTAATTTTTAACATGCTATGACATTAATATTTTAGAATTTTAGAACAGCAATCAAGGAAACTGCACGTTTGAGACATCGGATTAAGTATAACTATATTAATTAGAAGTCGGTGTAAAAATTCAGTTTTCAAGTAAATGGAGTAATTTGACTTATTGTATTGAGGCAAGTTTATCACAATGGGAAGCAGTCAATTTCTGACTTAGTAAATTGCTATTTCATTTAGAAGACTTAACATTATGGCTGATTTGCTGCTGTGTGGAAGTGTCTCTTCTCCCCGTAGAACACTGACACATCTTTTGAACATGTGTACAGAAGCGCAGGCCCCGTCGGGGAGGCGATGCCGGCTTTCTTCGGGTCCCTCTCGAGGTCCGTCTGCGGCGAGTTTTCGGATGCCTGGCCTCTGATGCGGAATCCCATTGGTGGCGACAACATCTCTTTTTGTGACTCTTATCCCGAACTCACTGGAGAAGACGTTAATTCTCTCAATCCAGAAAATGAAAGCTCAACATCTTTGGATTCCAATAGTAGTCAGGATTTGGTTGGTGGAGCTGTTCCATTTCAAGCTCATTCTGAAAACTTTACAGAAACTACTGATGTATCTAGCTACAACGCCACGCCGACAGAACCAGCACTAACTCAGGATGCAATGACTACTGGAAGCCAGCCGGATCAGGAGAGTGGCGCTGTCATTAACCTACCCGCGCACACGTCTCTCCAGGTAAGGCAGTGACAGGTTTCAGCGTGAACGTTGACTTGTGGTAGACCACCAGACAGGAGCTCTCTTCCTACCATAAAATTTCGGGAACCTGATAAGATTTTCCATCTTTCATAATTTCTTTTATGTTGTAGAATGTTTTAAAATAAATGTCAAGAGTCTTTTTTTTTTAACAGCTAATCTGTAAGACCGTAATCGGCTGCTGCGTTCTTTTATTCTTCTTTGTAAATCCACCTACTTAGCACAGCGCCTCCTGCCCCCTTTCCTGATGGAGAGGGAGGAGTTGGTTATGGGAGCATCTCCAACAAGTCCTGACCTTCATTTTTTCCTGTGATAGCCTCATGTCCAAGCCATTCACTGCCAAAGTGATTCGAATTTAGGTCTCCTAAAGCTACTCTTTGCCCTTCCTCCTCATTTACTGTTGTGTTTTGGATTGCTCCGCTTTGGCTAATTGGTTGATGTGGTTGGAAATTGATTGGTGGTTGTGATCTGAGACCAAACACGCCATGAGACCCTCCCAGGTGGAAGAGTTTAAAATCAGGTTGGGGGGAGGCGGCAGCTACAGAGATAGGGGCTTTCTGGAGTGCTGCAAAGCTGCAGGCAACAGGGCTTCAGGGACAAGTGGGCACCATCTGTCTGCTTTCTTCTCCCGGTGAGGACTCGGCCTTTGCTGAATTTGACTTAATGTTTATAAATATTTCCTTAAATGGAAGTGCATATATTAGTGTAAGTTCTTCTGGAAAAATGAGGTCAACCTTGAATATAAAAGGGTGGAGTCACAGCTACAGATCAGCCCCAAGCCCCCAGCCCCTCCCCTGCACAGACAGCCTGGCTCTCGCTTCCTGTCCCCCCTGCCCCCGGGGGGGAGGGCGGCCTTGGGTGCTGAGGGACAGCTCTGCACCTGCTCCTGAGTGGGGCCGCCCGTGAGATTCTGTATCCTTGCCTAATTCTATCAGAAACTTAGTCTAAAGTCAAAGGGTAAATGCAGACGTGTTCCTTTTAAGATCAGTACATAGGTTATGTGTTGATCTAAGTCTGCAATACTTGTTTTTTTAACTGCAAAAAAATTCTCTAGAGAATTTATAGGGGATTCTACAGAGAAAACATTTGTTAGCTTTTGGGGGGAAAATGTTGGTTTTGTTCTCAAAATGGCAATAATGTAGAAAAGATAAGTAAAGGGAGGAAATGCAAACAAATTAGGCAGTTTGAAAACCATAGAATATGTATCTCTGAGCTCCACTTGGAGCCAGGAAAGACTGTTTAGTGATCTTATTCTTTTGAGCCATCCCATAATTTGTAAAATTTTTATGATAGTACATAAGAAAAGACTTAATTAGTCTAGTTGAGTATATAAATCTCAAGAATGAACTGTGCCCCACAAAACTTGGGGACTGAGAATGCCCCGCAGCCTGGATCAGGTCACGAGTCCTACACACCAGCAGAGCACCCGCTTGAGGTGAGAGGGTGCAGAAAATGGGGTGGGGGTGACGCCCACCCCTTCAGCAAGGGAGGAATCGGATGCCCTGCCAGCTATTCTAGTTGGGTTACTTTCACCCGCACCTATCAGACAGGTGCTGCACATCTATCATTAGGGGAAGTTACTCAGGCACAGGTGCTGCACATC